GAAACAAGGGATAAACCTCTACTCCTGTTCAAAAGACAAGGAAGGAATGTGAACCAGGCAATAGGTGAACCTATTTATATTTCTATATATCTAAATATTGTAGGCAATAAAATTATAGGTCCCTTCAAATCTGATTGTGGCATGAAAATAGATGCAGTAATTATTTTCAGGTCTTGGACAGAATGCTTTTAGAGTAGTACAGGTCTCAATCAAAAAACTTTAAAGAGTATATTCATGTAAAGCAGCACTCCTTGACATTCTGTAAAATTGACCTATTGTCTACTTTGATAAAAAAAAAAAAGAAGTTTTTAAAGACACCAAGTTAATGGAATGACCCACCCTCCCACAGACTTGTTAGATATGAATGAGAGAGCAACTGTTTGCACCTTTTTAGGTGTTCTCCACTGACATGAAGTAGAAAGATTACATTGAATCAACTCATAGGTCTGTTGCCAGGAAAGTTGGTTCACGGTGTTGTGCTAGACAATTTTTTCTCATCAGAATCCATCTTGCACATCTATAAATTTATCATTAATCCATGCATTGAATAGTGTTACCATATCTGGTCTGGTACCCCTACAATATAACTTGAGATTCTTGACAACATCCAAAGAAGAGTCTATAATGTAATTGAACCTGATCTGGCATTTTGATTTTAGTCACTTTCTCACCAATGTGTTGTGGTTTCTTTCTGTCTTTTCCACAAATATTTTCATGGCAATTGTTCTGATGTGTTTTCCTCTTTGGTGACTCAACTGCATGAACTTAAGCATGCTACTAGATTCGCAACTAGTTCTCACTGTTTTACTCTTGAACTAGCTAGATGCATCTATATCTTCTTTTCTAGTTTCATTTTTTGTACTTCTTCCCTGTGAAACTCCATCTTAATTTTGCTTTCCTGCCAGCTACAATCTTCAGAAATTTAAATGCAACACCAATTGCTATCTTCATGAATTCTGTTCTTTTAATGTCCTTTCTCCTCACTAAAGTCTTTTCACTCTCTTTCATCCTAGTGGCATTACTGCCTTGCTTAGAGAGATTTAATGATTTAGAAAAAAAAAAGAAAAGTTGATCCATAACTAAAAGAGATGAATATAATAATTAAATTATTCAATCAAAGAGTGTAGGGAGCAAAACAAATTGTTTTTTTTCCTTTTTCACATGCTTTTTGCTTTCCTTCATTCCTCTTTCACCATGCTTCATCTATTCAGTTGTTTGTCCTCTTTCTGTTTGCTTTGTTCATTCGTCCTCTTTCTCTGTGCTTCATTTGTTCATTTGTCCATCCACTTTCATTGCACTTCATTCATTTGTTTGTCTGTCTGTCTTTCCATCCATCAAGTTGCTTGATACTTGATCAAGCCTCCCTACCAACTAATTTCTCATTGACTCATATAGTCGCTTTTTTATCCACAATTCCCCATTTTTTCACCATCCATTATAATTATAGGTAAGGCAGGTAGCATCCATTATGACAATTCTTTGAAGGCACTAAAACTGCTGCAAGTAATGTTAAAGTTGCAACAGTAGAAAAGTTGAAAAAAATTAATGAATGAAAGAGTGATGAATGTTATAGAATGTCAAGGAGCCTATATTAACATGTAAAATAAAATAATACTAAGGTATATGAAAAATTGTGTTCTCTGTATGTTTTGGATTTATTTACAAATGAAAAATTATATTGCACATATTTTGTGTGCATAATAAAAACTGACACCCTCAAAACAAATTATAAATATATTTATTAAGGTTAGATATATATAAACAGAAACTCACAGAATATATTATGCATATATATATATATCATGAAAATAGGGGTAGATAGGTTCATCTAGCATCCCATTCATACTCCTCACTGATCTTTTGAAAAGGAATACAGGATCATCAATTGACACATCATGAACAACCAAAATACAATTATCAGCATAAAACAAATATTAGTGGATAATACCAAAGTACTGTCTAACACCAAATGCAGGAAAAGACTCAAAACTATTATTATACAAAATAAACAGCCCACATTAAAAAAAATATCATTAACCAAAGAAGAATGTATCTTGAAATGCATAGGGTATAATTAATGTGCACACACACACACATATATATATATATATATATATATATTAGTATAAGAAAAATATAAATAAATAAATAGAAAATAAAAATAAATAAAATACAATAAAATAAATCACATTCCTAATAATGACTACATATGATATCATGTCAGACAATTTCAAATTTCCAACTTTCCAAAGAATACCAGGATGTCGACAAAGGAATTCTATCTACCACACAGACACCACATTGGTTCTTGATAATAACTGTGATGATCGAAAGTACTTGAACAAAACAATAACAAAATATGAACTTTGGACAGTTTCCACAATTTTTAGCACAATACTCAACACCTTATCTGAAAATTGGAAAAAATATAAAAAAAAAAATTAACAGGGAGATCTTGTTTGGTCTTCTTACTTGTTTGGATGAATACTTGCTGCCTAAATATATATATATATATTTTTAATTGGTATTGCTCCAAGCAAGGCAGTACAGTCACTAAAATGTAAAGGGTTACTGAGTGTGGATGAATTAGGAACAGAAACATTAATAATGAGCAGAAAGAGAAACTAGTAGTATATAACAATTGACATTGCATTTAAATTTTTGCTGATTAAAGTTGACTGGAAAGCATGGAGCTGGAATGGACTTCCACAAGTGAGAAGTGTGAGAAAAGAAACTGTTAGCATAGAATTTACAGCTACATCTAGCCAGCTCAACTGTAAATTGATGAGGTCTCGCTGCCAGTCTAGTACTACGCTTAAATTCAAAAAGTCTAGGTACCATAGCAAAGAACTCATCCAAAGAATTATCATGAAAGTATTAATAGAAAAGATACAGACAGACAACTTTACACTAGTGGGAAAGTGACTTAAGCTGAGCTGCCAGATCAGGACAAATAATATTGCTGATTCTTCTTTGGATCTTATCAAGGAGCTCAAGGTAAATAGCAGGGGCACCGGACCATATACAGCTGCAATATTCTAAGCATGGACAAATGGTAGACACAGATATGTAAGATAGATTCTAGAGAGAAAAATTATTTTGCACAACACAACTTTCTTAGCAGCTGACCTAGCAATTGATTCAATATAGTCTTTTCACTTCATGTCAGCTGAGAACATTAGCCCAAGAAGGCACGATGAGTCACTGTTCTGGAGGTTAGCATCAGCCATACTGATAGAAGGCAGAGAGCTGTCTCTCAGAAGATTGATGGAGAGAAGTTTAGTTTTGAAGGTATTTAATGTGTGTTGTTTGCTTTTGGTTTTGTCAACTGCCCAGTATAATAGGATCAGCTGGGCACCATCTGTAAGAAAAAAAGAGCACCATGATGCAATTCACTCTGCCAGAAATTTGGAAGCAACATGCTGTAATGCTTGGCATTTGCACCAGAAGCTTCAATACAAATTTTTCAGAGTGTTTGGGTATCAATCTGAGAACAGTGCCTTAGACTCAACACAGAGGTCTACATGAAGTGCCTTGAGGAGGAAGTGCTGCCCTGGGTCAAGAGGGTGGCTGCTGGAAGACCCTATGTCTGGCAACAGGACTCTGCACCATGCCATAGAAGCAGGAGAACCCAGTTATGGCTGTCAGACAATTTCTGTAAGCACACCATCCCTCTTTAGTATTTCAAGATATTTTTGTATCATTTTGGTAAATATATCTGTTAGAATGAGATGTCAGTGTTATATTTATTTCTGCATAATTTAGACAAAAATTTATTCATCACACCCTATATATACAGAACTGAGGAGAATATGGCTATTATAGAAATGCACTGAAAAATTTTGACAGAGATTCACTAAAAATTAGCAAATAGAGATCAGTGGTAAGATCATATATACATTACCGACAGAATAGGACAATTACTATCATTGCTTTGTATCTTATAATACATCATATTAATATATCTTGATGAGAGAACATACAGAGTGCATCAGGTAATTGAGAACAAATTATAAAGAAACCAAACAGTAATCAAGAGTAAAAAATCAATCTGTATATTTTAAAACAAATATGTACACATCTCCAACACAAAAAAGCAGGAAAGGTTTAATCAATAAAACCACAATTGACCTCAGTGATGGTGCTAGTACTGCTCTTGGTTGAAGTTTATAAAATCTTTCTTCTAAAACAATTTTTCAAGAAAATAGCTTTTTCAAGTTCAGTAGCTGTTATCACTCTTTCCAGTATTGACAGAGATTTCTTTCCTAACTTTTTATTTGAAATAGTGTGAAATGTCAACATCTTGATTATGTCATTATTCCTCTTAGAGTTACATGTGCTATCCAATTTAGTCACTGCTGATGTTGGTAGTCCTCAAATGATGTGGTTTCTCTTATTTGGTACAGTTCCTTGTGATTCTGTAGTGCTAGTCTTCAATCTTCAAAGAAGGTTGATCTTTGTCAAGACCCTCAGACTTCACTCACTCAAAGCCTTTTTTAACCATTGATTTTGGAATAGTTTTATACAGCTGACAGTTTAGATATTTCTGAACAGGTTGGGCACCATGCATGCCATTCTATCTGATGAGGCTATTTAAGAACAAGATTAGGATTTTTTGGTTGACGTTTTGTAGAAATTTGTAGTGTCAAGAAAAACTACTTCTGCTGCAGCTTATTCTATGTTCAATTTCTTTTTCTATGATCGATTCAGGGTATGTCATCACTGCTTTCATTCCAAATCCAGATCATAGTTTGTTTTGGAAAGATTTATATGTCCTATTTCTTGGAAAACTTGGTAGAGGATATTGATTTTCTACTCAAAATCTTCTATCATTGCTATGGCTTTATCCCAACTATGAATACCTATGTCATCAGCATAGCATCACCCACTCATCCTCAGTACATTGGCCTTGGAAGGAAAAGCAGGATTGTTGTCTTCTATTGGTAGATTCATTTGGGATGTGATATGAAATGCTTATCTAAATAAATCTGAGTACTTACTGAAAATCCAGGTAAAAAGGGATGGTCCATGAAATGACTCCTTCTTGTTGTCGAACAACAAATATAACAGGGAAATTATCCAGGGCACCTTTACTTTGTGTTGACACTCGCAGGGCAGTTGTCTACAAGGAAAAGAAAAAAAACTTGAATGCAAAGACTATAGATCAATATTTAAAGTACAACAAAATAAATATTAGCACCAGCACAGAATATTTTGTAACAAATGTAACAACTATTATGAGATGGAGTTAGTCTTTTTTTTATTAGTACCTCTTTTACTTAACAGCTGTTATTTATTAAACTTAGCTTAGTACAAAGCCACAAGTATAGGGCATCCAATAAGGATAGAATTCATAACTCAATACTAATGGTGAACCAGACTATCTCACTAAACATTATCCAAGGCAACTATGTTCAATAATATTTGTTAAATTTAGTGTATGAAATGTATACCTACTATGGAATAGAGGTAGTGTTTTAAAAGAAAGAAACCAAATTGAAAACCAAAAATTCAGTGCATGAAGATGGTAATGTTAATTGAACTGGTACTCTTATAGATTGAGCATATGTCAAATGAAGTGGGGATTACAAAGAAACTGTTTGTAACAACCAGAAAGGGATAGTTGGAATTTTTTGGATATAATGTGGAAGGAAGGCTTGGAGAACTTAACCCTCAAACAGAGCATGAGAAGCAGAGGAAAACAATTGGTAACTGACTTAAAAGGTTTGTGCAAATGGCAAGAGAAATTGCTACAACAAAGACAGAAAGAGGTTGAAAATTGTGTTCGTATTGTCTGTTTTTTGTATGTCCACATGTTGAGAGCACTCTCCCAACCTTTGGTTACTGCAGTGGCCTGTTGCTTCAAGAATGCCACAGCTGCCCTAAACCAACCACATAATGAGACAGTAGCCTACAAGTTTTCTGCAGAGAGAGAATGTTTTACAACACATGATAACAGTTGGAGTATCTGGGAACTTACTTGTTTCCATCGAAGCATACTGCACTCACCCCAGACTTGCAAAGCAAGCACTTTTTCACCATCCTTGAGTTTCAAAGGGTTCTTGCAGATCAGTCCGAATGCTTTCTGATGTGTGCCATGGAAACCGCACTTTTGTTGATGAAGATGTTTTCTATGTATGTTGAAGTGGCATCTTGGATTGCTTCATCTTGCGATAGTACCTTCTTGATAATTGCCCTCATTATTCGAGGTGTCACATCAAGGCCAAGCCTAATTGCATAAAGCAGTACCTCTGCCTTTTGAGTAAGTCTAGAAAGGCTACAGTGACCAGTATACGAGGACCTGGAGATATGCTCTCCTAAAATCCAATGGCAATATATTGCACTTACGTTGTTGCTATTCCCTTAGCTTGAGCGTCCATATCATAAAGGGACATAGAGAAAGAGTCAGTTTTAATTTATTTTCCCAACAAGAATTGCTATAGATTCAAATAACACACCTAATATGCTGATGACACAACTACAGGTTGTGATGAATAATTTGTCATCTAAATTACGCAAAAATGAAAATAACACTGAAATCTCATTTTAACAAAGATTTACAAAAATTGTACAAAAATATCTTGAAATACTAAAGATTAAATTTATTCAAATAAATCGTCATTAGATTCATCCACTGCCTTCAGACAACTTTGGAATCTCCTTCAAATCTTCTGGACAGTCACCATGTTTAAGTTGGTGAATGCTGCCATAATCTTTGCCTTAAGTTCATCTTTGGTATTATTAGGAGTTTTGTTGGTCTCTAGCTTTACTATGCCCCACTCATGATAATCAAGGGGGTTGCAGTCTGGCGAATTAGCTGGCCAGATGTAAGGGGTGATGTGGTTGCAGAAATTATCTGACAGCCATGACTGGGTTCTCCTGCTTGTGTGGCACAGTACAGAGTCATGTTGCCAGACATAATCTCTTCCAGCAGCCACCCTCTTGACACAGGGCAGTGTGTACATTGAATATTGCTGCCACATCTGGTCTGGTGCTTCTGTTGTGTATTTAGAGATTCTTAATAAAATCCAAAGGCGGGTCTGTAATGTTATTGGTCCTGACCAGGCATCTCAACTTCAGATACTTTCCCATTGCCATGACATCATTTCCCTCAGTTTTTTCTATAAGTATTTTCATGGCAATTGTTCTGATGAGCTCTCCTCCTTGATACCTCAACAGCATCAATTTAAACATACTAGTAGATTGGAAACTAGGACGCATTGTTTTACTGTTGAAATAAGTAAATGTAACCATAAGTTCTGTTTTAATACTTTCTTTTCTTACAATTCTCACATTTGAGTGTCTCTTCCAATTTCTTGCTTCCCTGCCACCTACAATCTTCAAAAATTTAAACACAATGTCAATTGCAATCTTCTATCATCCTAAAACCTGTACTTTTATTGTCCTTTCTCCTCACCAAAGTTTTCTCATTTTCTTTAGCTCCCAGAAACCTCTTGTGTCTTAGTAGCATTCTTGCCTTACTTGGAGTGAAATTACTGTGTGTGTGTGTGTGTGTGTGTGTGTGTGTGTAAATGTAATAATAACAATCAACTACAAATAACAAAGTAATCAGTAATAAAGTTAACAAACAACACTATCAAATAGTCACAAAACCACATTTGGATCCAAAATTATTTTCATTCAATAGCCCCTCAATTTTTCTAGTGTTCTTATAGTTTTTCTTTTATAAACACTAAGGGAGTGTAGAAACTGTTCATAGTGAATATTATCCCAAATACTTTTTGGCTAATTCAACCCTTTACAGTCCAGATTTGGCTTATTGCACCTTCTAGCTATTCTCAAAACTAAAAATCACTTTTGAAGTGCTGTGGACAAGAATAATTTGAATACAACAAGTAGCAAATGGTGATTGCCTAGAAAAAGACTTTACAGACTATTTTAAAAAGTGGAAGGAATACTGGGATAAGTGAGTGATATCCTAAGAAGAGTACTTTGAAGGGACTAAGGTGCCATTGCCTTAGGTAGACTTCTTTTTATTAATATGAAATGGCTGCATTCTTTAAGCACAGACTTTGTGTATTAAGATATTTATATTTTTAAGTATTTTATATTTTTTTATCATATAAGATATAATAAATTTACATAAGGTTTGTTTTAATATTTCTTTTATAATTTTCTGAGTGAGTCCCAATCAGCATGCTGATAATGGAAAGAGATCTTATGAATAGAAGGTTCATGTTTAATAGATCATTGGAATGAAATATCAAGATACTGCAGAGTGATCTGAGTTTCCAAGAGGTCAGTGTTGCAAAGCTCAGCAAGAGTGAAGAGAGGAGTAAGATATAAATCAAGTAGAGAAGCTTATTGCTCAGTTTTGCTAGGGTAACGAGTAGGAAAATCTATGATTTAAGTAAGTGGAAAAATTTAATGTCTGAATACCAGCAACATCAGTACCTTTTAGAATGTTTAAATTTTGTTTTGATATAATTTCTTTATAACAAAATATTTTCATAATTTAGTATTTCATTTCTGAGATGAGTAATTGTATTATTGTAAACATACAATGTGACCCTTGGCCAAGCTTCCCACCAACCAGCCAATGACCACCCCCACATTACATTTCAATCCTCAATCTAGCTGGTGTTTGCTGAAAGCTGTGGAAGATTACACTGCATGCTCACAAGGTAACACAATTAAAGAAATGCCACACCAAGAAATAAAAGCATGAACCCTGTTTCCTATATTATACATATATGTTTTATTCAGGGCTTTGCCTACTTGTCTAGTGGGTAGGTATGTGATAGCTTCTGCTATGTCAGCTCTCCCGCTCCCCCCAGCAACTAATTACCCATCAACTAATACCAATATGAATATATTCATCTCCCACCAAGGGCAGACCAGCACTCTCCCCAACCTCAAGAATGACTGTTAATATAGACCAGCACCTGGATATAACCTATTTCCAGTTTCGTTGCCACTTGATCTGCAAAAATCCCTCATTCACCTTATTAGCCCTTGGTTAAATTGGATACTTCTTAGAAGACCAAACTTCAAAAGAAACTATATTCTTCTGGATGATCAAACAGAAACACTTGAGACTGAGATAAAACCACCTCTTCTCATTCTGTATGGATGTTCATAGTATCACATTATTTCAAACTATTGTTCTCATCTTTGTTGATATAGATGCTATTATAGACACATTTTGACCAAATACCCTTTGATCCTCATCAGGTGTCCATTGATTGGCTGATATGTCTGTTGATTATTGTGATATTTTGTCCCTATGTTAACAGTTATTGTTCATTCTTGATAAATTGGTGCTCCACTAACTGATCCAAAGAATGAACCCATGACTGCTTAATGACAGTAACACAAGTATAACCAACTCCCATATTCACTACACCACTGCCTCAAAAGATATTAGTGGTGTGTTTTTTGGAGCTTTTTATATTCAACGTCAGGTTCATACCATTTTTCATAATTTAGTATTTAGTTATACATGTTACTGTCATCTAGTGGTCATCTTTTCATGGTTTGAAACAAGAAAATATTTTCAACTGCTTTCTAAAAATGTTCCGTACACTTATTTATGTACATACTAACACCAACTCAATGTTGATTTTACTGTTGATCAAACTAATGCCAACATGTGTTTCCAATAGCCAAAAATAACCTGGAACACTGCCACGCATGAAAACGCAGTCTTATTTTACATATGTAAATCAAAGTAAACAACTGATATATAGTAACAATCAATATGTTCTGTGTTGTTGAGATTTCTATTATTTGAGTCATGAATGGAGTTCCTTTTTATCCACTGACATCTATGATCATTGGTTAATAAAATTGTTCTGTCTGTTACCAAGAGCAACAGCTAGATTGCTGAAACAGTTGGTCAATGCAGGTTGTGGCTTCTCATAAAAAATAATGAATGAGTTATTCAGTGAACAAATAGAAATAGCATAGGAATGGTCAATTGTCAGAGATACAAATGTTTACTTGTGGTATATTTTTAACTACTTTATCATTAATCAATAAATGACACCTTCTAGATGTTCATTAACATTATCTTCACATTGGCCAAAAAAAAAACAAAAAAAAAAAAATCAACATTTGTTAAACCCCTAAAGATACCTGTAGCATTCAGGAGAAGTTATT